TAGAAAAATGTGAAAAATGGAGGAGTGCCAAGCTGAAAGAATGTATCATTGCTCAGTCCCGATGAGATTGAAAAAATTTATCAAACATATTGGGTTATGTACAGTAAAGGTTTGGCTCATTATAGTTATGATTATTTATATGAGGGTAGGGAAGAGATTGTAAATCGTTTAATTAATAATGCAAAAGTTATCCAACGGGCTTGGAGAGCTTTCAAGTTGAGACCCGAAACATGAGCGAAATGAGTTTGGAATATGGTAAGAAATGATGGCACTCTCGACAAAAAGAAGTTTTTAGGTATAACTTCTCGTGATATAAGAATTCCTGATGATCGATATGTAGATTATTTTGGTCAAAAAATTCAAGCTAAAGATGTGCTTGCACATTATCAGAATTCTCCTATTTTATTTGATCATTATACTCCGTATAGGTGGCTAGAAAAGAAGAAAGATCAGCTACATGATCGATTAGGTCTTGTATCATATATAGTTGCTTTTGTAGTATTACACTAGCAAGGCTATAGAATCGTTGAATATTCAGGATAGACTTATATGGTAAAGTGGATATCAAATCCTGAATATTACCGTATTAATGAATCTGGTAATAATAGAATTGTTAGAAGTTTAGAGTATGCACGATATATATATAAAATGCATGTCAAACCATATCTATGTGAATCGCTAAAAATCAATTATTACGAAACTAAATATCTTTATATTCTGGAAAAAGAAATTAACATAGATTTCTCAGATTCAAGCAATAATTGTGAGTATGTGCGCCGAATTTTCCGAATCATAGATTCTTCGCCGAAGCAGGCCGTTACATTATAATAATTTAGTTGTCCACCGTTTCCCTAATGCTATTCTTGATATCATGATATATTTTTTATATTAATATTTTTTTATCTACTTCTAACACAGGTAGAAAAGTGTCGATATGAAATTTTCAAGACAGCTCCGTCCCAGAAAAATCTATATAATTAAGTGCTTTGGAAGTTTGTGAACAAACAAATCATCTTGGTTGATCCACAATTTGACTAATTCTATTCATTAGCTGGGGCACTTTTTTCCTTGCACTTCTGCCTCACCTCTATCTCTTTCTGCAGGTTTAATGGAGTATCAAACCTTAGTCGAATTGCAAGAGGATCATCCTCCGACCTGCTG